TGAGACCCTCTTTTATTACGAGCTATCTGTTATTTTCATATCATAAACATATTTTCTGCTGTCTTTCTGCTTTTCGGATTTCAAAAGGTGGCAGCACTGCATGAGAGCTTGATATTGCTTGAGATCGCAGTTGTAGAAGTATTTCTTTGATACATGGACATGTTTAACGTTTATTTTCCTTCGATCATCAAATCAGATATCATTGAATCTGATATGGATTGTGTATTATGATAGACACTTGAATTTCGCAGACAAATTTTGGTCAATGTTCAGGATGTGGGCGCATGGGTGTAAGTCGTTTGGTTATGGATCTGGGCGTGAGCGTGGGTATGTCTGTAAATGAGGAAAAGAGAACATAGACACATATTCTAACAGTCGCATCCACATCCACGGCACATCCACATGCCATATCACCCACATTCTTATTTTTGGAACTATTCAAGTTGGTAATTTAATTGATGTCCTTAAACAAGACTTTGATTTTTACGAAAAAAATTATTAAATTTGTTACATCAAAAAATATCTCAATCTTGAAGCAACAGTAAGGAATAGTATTTAGTGTCAAACAAAAATATCAAATGGTTTTTGTTAGCCTAACCATGTTCAGTTATGAAATTTTTTCAACTTTGTATTTGATTTATTTATATGGAATATATTTTATGAATTTTTTTTATCCATATGAAAGATAAATACAAATTTGTTTCCTGGCTCGTTTCTATGTCTACTTCATACTGCTCACTGATAATGAAAGATTGTTTTCATCTAGTCCTCAGTAAGAAAAAAAAGAAAGGCTTAACAGCTAAATATTTTTTTTCATTGAGTGCCATTAGCTCTCTTTGATGATATACAATGTCTGGTGTTTTGAAGATATCACGCAATCACCACTTTTCTTCGTTCAATCTTATCTGTAGTCTAATCAAGGTTCGCATTTGACTCTAATATGCTGGTATCATTTTCTGTTCTTTCTCAAAGTTTGCCTGATGATTCTTATGTATAATCACATCGGATATTTCTGCGCTCAAGAAACTATTAATATGCTAATTTGTATTTAATGAATGTTCATTTTTGGCCAACAATTAGTAAGTAGAATAGTCATTCACAGAAAATAATCTTACAAGATTTTTATACCTCGTCCAATTTATTTATGTAATACGAAACAAGAAAATGTAGAAGTCAATAATCATGGAATCCAATATACAATTGATGATCTTCAATTATTACAATCACTTTGTATTCATCGTTACTGTTTCAACCGAACAACTGACGCCGCTTCTTTATGACATGATCTTGCGAGATTGGATCATCTAATAAACTATCATGAAAAAATTGTACGATAACAAGACGTAACTTTTCAAGACCACCAAGAAAAATATTGACGATCAGCACTCCAGGATCGATTGAGTATACATCAATTTCGACTTCTGTCAAAGATGGAAAACGTTCGACAAATATTTGAGTGAAAAGTACATATGATCTGAAATTAATCTAAGCTTCTCTATTCGGCCAAAAGTAAGAGTAAGGTCCGGATTTTCGATGACTATAGTCAAGAAAAACAACCGAATCGGCACAATAAGCATTGTAACATATACACATACTCTAAAAATAGAAAAGACGATTTTATTTCTCATTGATTATTCGACATAAGATATAATTGTGACTAATATATCAATAAAATCAGTTTTCTTTTAACCAGCAAAGTCAATTATCATGAATCTGTATGATCAAACTGTAACTGAAGAGGAAGACATGTAAAATATCAAATCGATTCTATGTACATTTCGCTTGAGAAACAACTGTGATATAGCAACAAGAAAAATGATGAAATGAGCGACTCTTCTAATGAGAACACTATCTAGCATAAATTCATTAACAGTGAATGCACAAAACTTGTAATATTTTAAAAACCATTCATTCAGATTTGTTCGATGCAAATTTCAATAATAATTTAAGATAAGGTAATGAAAAAAAACATTCTTCACACTTTTGTAAATGAAATATTTCGACAGTCGCTTAAGTAATTGCAATAAATAAATCGTCATTTTAAAGAGTATCTCATGCTCTTTCTAAATATGCTAAAATTTTTTTTTCTCACTTATGATTGATTCATTAAGAGGAAATCCTTCAAAGGTCCATAAAACGAGGTCTCTACAAGTTTTTTCTTGCATTCTATTTTTATATTTTGATTAAACTTGCCTTGATACGAGATATGAGAAAATCTTTTTATACACCAGTTTATAGAGTGAAGTTTACTCAATAAAATGCAGTTCGTAACTCTTGTTACATACTGCAACAAAGAATCGAGATTTATTGCATTTTAAATACCGAAATTCAAATACCGGGAAAAGCATACTTTGGTGGGTTCGAACATATTTTTTTTGATTTATTCAGGTATTTACTCACAGCTGACCAACTTTAAGTCAGAGAAAAATTCTGAAAATATATTCAGAAAGACCATGAAATTCTGATTCTAACTGACTACTTTTCATTCTTCTCAATAGCATCTGAGTGTCCAAAAAATAAGCAAGCATATGTACTAAGACCTGTTAACGAAGCGTTTTGTACAAACGCCGTTTTCGGTCCCTTCAAGGATTTGTTTCTAGTGAACCAACCGTAAGTCGGAAAAAAATTTGAACATATATTTAGAAAGAGCATGCAATGCTCGTTCTAACTGACAACCTTTGATTCTCTCCAGTGAGTTATACGTGGCTGAAAGTTGAACAAACATCTCGTGCAAAGACTATTGCAACAAGGGTAAAAAAATCTATCTGAAAAACGTTAATGGTATTCTCACGTTCATATCTCTCTTATTTCCTAAGTCGGAATCTTTATTTTTGTACAATAAGTATACTTGCAAATGCTCTTTAAAACGACTATTTACTTGTTGAAATTACTTAAATGATTGCAAAGATATATCGACTGAAAAATTGCGAAAAACTTCTTTTTTATATATTATTTTAGCTGAAATCGGCTGAGCTTCAACCTAATGAACAACATCGGCGTAGCTTCAAATTCACTAGGACTACGTAGAATATTCCTATTATTTTGATCTTTAGACAATCGATTCTTCCTAAGTCTATTTTTTAGACTTTTCCATGAATACTTCGAATCAAAGTTAATTGCTGTAATCTTAAACACATAAAAAAGACTGAATTATTTACGATATGTTTTTTACAAATCTGCTATAAGAAAATAAAATAAAAAATTATCAGTTAGAAATAAATGATTATGTTAATCTATACGTAGTCTACAACATTCTAATATTTGTATAGTTTTCTATGGTATTTTTATATAAGATGTTTGTCTAAAACCTTTTTCTAAATAAATAAACTTACCGTAAAATATGCGGCACAACATGTGATCGTATTAAATCATTACTTTGTTTAAATTCCAAAGTCACAATGGTCGACATATCAATAAGAGATGAAAGATTGTCAACGTATTCATGTGATTCATTTCTATAAGAATACATAAAAACTGAGCGAAAAACAAAAATTAATAAAAATACAATTAGTTAATGGAAGAATTAACAATAGTTCATTGAAATATTTTTACTCACTTAATGTAAATACATTCTTTAAGAATGACATTATTGATGATTCCATCGATGATAAATGTATCACAAGAAAATCGGTATTTCTAAACGGAATATTTGAAGATAATTTAAAGACTCGTCTTTCCATATATCTTGACATATAAAATTCTATTGAGTTGTTATGCGATTGAAAGCGATGATCATTAATATTTGATACATCGGTTGACATCATTTCAAATGTGCCACAACACATATTTGTTGTTATAGGATATTTATATCGTGGTTCCAGATGTTTGTAGTTGAGTGTGCGCAAATCAATATATTGATCTAAACATACTACCATTTAGAATAATGATGAGAAAGAAAAACAACAGTCATAGTAGATTGTATTTTTGTTTTTACGAATCATTTTATCAATAGGTTGTCTCATGCTTTTTATATAGATGGAAGTCGTAATATACGATGAAATAAAAGACGAAAACAAGAGAAATAACGTGTCTTCAAAGTAGTAAAACCAATATCATGTGTCAAGATTTACTATAGCTGGAAGAAAGTTATTAATACTTTTGAATAACTTTTCGCTATAATACTTTCATTTTACGTAAAATACATATATGTTATTGACAACAGTAATCGTAACAAGAATGAAAGTTCATCTCAAAAGATTATGTTATTCGGAATTTCAACAAAACTATTCTTATCAGAAGAACATGCACTGAAGATAGATTGAAAATATTGAAGAAGTTCTACAAATAATACTTGTTCATTTAGTCTTTACTTCTGGTATTCTTCAATGAATTTTTTTGTGAAATACGATCTGAAAGGAGTGTTGAAGTATTTAGGGGTAGAAATTTGGATCCCCCCCCTCTCCCCACAGACAAGCTCCAGGGGTCGTCATAGACTGTGAAAGAAGAGTTCAAGGAACTATCAGAGATAATACATAACTAACACATGATTGGAGTATATATGGAGTATTATCCTGTTTCAGCTCTATAATTTAAAGTAACTCACGATGAAGAAATGTAGACCAATATGCATAAAAAAGAACAATTTTTATAAGATTGGCAACAGCAGGTACATCGTGTTTCACATTTTTAATCCCGAAAGGGATTGCACTAACAGCTTTTTTAGATTTTTCATTTTTGTATGAAACGGGAACTTCTCATTTCATTTCAATTTTGGCAATATGTGACAGTGTTGAGGAAAGTGGTCTATCTTTTCTATTCTTCCTTCTATTACTGTCAAAACTGAATAAAACAAAACAATATCATTTTTTTGACTTACAGGGTATGTATCTTTTAAAGGTTTCCCATCGACTAATAGCCATATGCCAACCATCATATCGTGTGAGAAAACATCGAAACGAATTAAGAACCAAGTTTAAATCGAATAATCCTTCATCCGTTAAAGAAGACATATGAAAATCGAATTTGTTCAAATTTGGTACATGTCTTGTCAATGTTTGTTGTCAGTTATTTCCATCGAGCAAGTCATCAATAAATAGTGTATCAAGATGTCCAATGATAAATGTAAAACTAAAGTCTTGAAGATTAGGCATACAATTAAGAATATGATCAAGTGAATGAATATCAAATTGTGTCAATATTTGCAGATCAAGTATTTTTAATGATGATATTGTGGGTAAATCATCTTCATTTATAGATAGAAGATTTGGAATACTGAAGAAAAAAAATAAACACATTGTTTTATATTTCATTCTTTAATAAAGTGATTGATTTTATTTGTTCTCAAATCAATTATATAAGAAAATAATTTATGATGTTATTCATTTAAATAGCCTTATTTGACATTATTATCCTGTGACATCGTATGACTTTTGATTATAACATTGAATTGTCCCAATGTACTACATACACGAAGGACAGGAATTAGAGAATAAACCGATATATTATCAAGTGTTCCGTAAAACATCAATTCTAGATATGTAAGCTTCGTATTGATGATCATACTTCTCGTTAATTCAGGATAATCATAATGGAATCAAAGAGTGGCGAAACGATTTGTGGATGATGTATTTAACA